AAACTTGACAACAACGCAAGCCCATGTCCTGCAGAAACTCATCAGAGGGTCGACCTTGAATCTCACCAAGAAGGTGCATATCAAGATGGGCTCTCAACGCATCTTTAGAAGTCCACGCCGGCCCCCGCCCACGACTCCGGGCCTACCCCTGAACAGGACAATAGAACTCTTCGCATCCTCCACGTCGTCGAGTTTCATTTGCGGAATCCAGAATCTCCCCAACTGGTACACCAAACAACTCTGCCAAAGCCAAGTCAGCATCAGAAGCCCTCTGCGCAATTCCGATTTGAGATGAAGCCGCGCCGCCAGACCCTATCCCTTCATCAATCTCCATCGCACTCCCAGAAGCCCGCAAATTGGAGAAGAGACTCTGTCCCGGATAAGCAGGGAAATACCAAACCAGGAGAAGCAACAAGAATCTTCCCCAAAACTGAAGGCCCTCCGTCAACCAGTGAACACCCGCCAAGGACACCAATTTACACAACTCCGCTGGCAAATGTCGCTCCATGACCCATGCCCCAATACCAGCCAGAAGAACCAATCCACGACAGACATCCCTACACCTCACCACCCAAATGGCGAGCAAACAGAAATAGACTCCCTGGACAATTCCCCTTAATGAGTTGACAAGCTGATTAACTTCCTGGAGGATATCCCGAAGAAGAACAAGGAACTCTCCTTCAACAAATCCAGAACTATTCCCCGAATGACGCGCTCCAACAACAGAGGCAGCACACGAGCGAAGATGGAACAAATAGAAGAGGCTGGCAGCAAGGACCCAAAGTGATCTACTCCTCACAATTTTCGTCGGAATAATCCTTTGGGATACCACGCTTCTGTTCTGATGACATCCTCCAAGGATCAAAAGGAGCAAGAAAATCAAGCCCAATCTTCTAATTCTTCTACCTGCCCCCTTCCTTTGTCCCATAATCCGAAAGAGGAACACTCTCTGAACCCAAGTCATCCGCATGTCTCCAACATCGTCCTCCGCCTCACCTAACCGACCTATCACAAAAACAACCCCACAAAACAACAACCAGACCCAATCCCTAAACTGAGCGGTGGGGAGGAGGTCGCACCAATATTCCATCAAGTCCCCCCGCTACGTGCTCCAGATGTTCCGGAACCTATGTGCTCCAGACGTTCCCGGAGACTTTCTATTTTTATATTTAGGAATCTTCGATTCTTCTTATTCTTTCTTCGTCTTTATGGGATGATTTGTAATTGGGAGGGATGACGGATTTTTAAGCACGTCGAGGCATTTTGGGGAATTCGAAGTTCATCTTACTCTCGTGGATGAGGATTCCCTTTCATTTGTTTAAGCGTTCATAATGCCTGGATGATGAATTTCATTTATAGAATAAATTTATGGATTCGCATTTGGATACCTTGTCCCTTCAGGCAACCAGATCCCAAATCTTAAGCGACAATCCCTAAATCTTGCCGTCGCACTTCATCATTCGTTCGAGTTCTTAGTGACGCTCGCGTGTCAGTCAGACTCTCAGAATTCTATAAAGAGATCCCGAAATTAAAGAGATCATTAATTTATCCGTATTTCTTCAAAGTGTTAGCATACATCTTCTTCCATTCAATAGGCGAAAATATCGTCGATGGAATCGACGGGTTCCCTCTAATTCTCCCAAATCGAGAAAATTTCCCCCAAATAATGAAAAAAATAATCTATAATCCAAAAAAATAATCAAATAAATTTCTATGATCCTACATAATAAAGAAACCACAAGGCCAATTATTATAATTATCGACTTAATTATTATAATTCTATTCTATAATCTTACGAAATCAGAAAATATTATATATTAATAAATCGAATATATTTTGAATTCTTCATCATATGTTGAAGAATTCTCTTTTAAATCATAAAAAGGCTAAGTGGAAGTTCTTTCGGTACAAGCGACTTCTACGCCCAAAAGCACCAATTAGAAATCTAAGAAATTTACGCTCCCAAAAGCACCAATTAATATGAATCCTCCATAGAGATTCATACGAAGATTTTATCAGAGACTTCTGCCCCCGTAAGATAATAGATCAAATTCGTTTAGTAGAAATATTCCATTATTAATCGGCCGGCACATTCAACAAGAACGACCAAAAGAAATTTGTAAAAATAAATGGAAGAAATAGAAATTAATTATTTCGGCGGAGCTATGCCCCCAAAGACTTGTAAGACGCCCCCAAGTGCAGGTCTCCGCCACACTGGCAGGAACTTCTTCTGGCAGACCGATCAGTATGCACTCCAGCAATGAATAACATCGCATCTGCGATGAGCCCTACTCGACTGGGCCAACTCTCGCGAAATGTCTTCTACGAAATGGCAGAGCAGTGTCTCATATAAGCTTCCGACGGCTGAGACGTTGGTCCAAGGCCTGCAAGTTATTACGATCTACTTCATGCTAGTACTATATTTCTTCGGAGGGGAGACGGCATTGTTTGCAGTCACCCACCCTAAAAAAACCCTGAACCAGGGCCAAGCTTTCAAGGCCCTGCTGTGCAAGGCAGCGCTTCCTGTCACTTCCTTCACCACTTTAGGTGGCCTGTAGGTGGGGCCCCTAGTCATCAAAACGTGTTAATCCTCTTCCGATTCCTGCACTGCGGGCAGGTTGGCTACCACCGAAGGCCTTACAGAACTCTCTGCTTCCGAGTCAGAGCAAGCGCCATCTTCCTCTTCCCGGCGCAGGGGAAAGAGCACCCGGACAAACTCTGAGTGGTCGATGAACCCATCTCCGTTGTCATCAAACATCTGGAAAAGCTCAATAATGCCTCAGCAGCCAGAGAGCGCTGCTTAACGCGAGGTTTTACAAGCGGCCCAACCTCTGAAGACTCCCAAGTCGACAAGCTACAAGCAGGTTGCTCTGCTTTTGATGCCACACCCCTTTCCAGCGAGAGTGTGTTTGTTGAGGGACCTCTAAGACTCTAGCTCGACTGTCTGAAGCATGGATTTCAGTCCTTCAAGGACAGGCACCGGTGCGGGGCTTGTGGGGATGCCACCGGCAAGTGGTTTATGCCAGTTTGGTTACGAGCCCTTACGGCGAAAGTGCATGTTACAATTTACAATTTATGCATAGATGCTGCTGTGCGCAACTTGGTACTGTGGATTCTAGTCTTGACCCGCAGCAGGTTTGGTTGGTTGGGTTGCAAGGTTTGGGCCTTCGGCCCTGTCGTTGCTTCACGCATTCTCAAGGCACGCACACACCCACACATCCCAAGCAAATGCCCACCAGCATTCAGCCAGGATGCTGTCGCTTGATAGACCGAGCGTCATCTCTTGGAGCAGCTCACAGAACTCCACAAGGTTCAGGGATCCATCACGATCTGAATCTGCATACTCGAACAATAGCTGAACATCGCGACTTTGATAGCCCCACTGCGCGAAGCGTTTGCGAGCCCGAGCAAGCAGGAGAACTTTAGCTCGATTCTGCCAGCAAACCGTGAACTCGTACCCGACCAGCCCAACGGGCATAGCCTCAGGCATGTCTGAAGCCTACAAGGCCGTGTAAGCCCCTACAGATGTCATCAGGCACTTCTCAGTGACCCGGAACAAGGGGAGCTCCTCAGCAAATCTTGCAGCCGGGCAACAATGAACAGCACACTGACAACTGTGAGGATGGACGCAATCACGTAGCCAACAACGGATTTCGGCACGAAATCACCATATCCCACCGTTGTCATTGTTACAAGGGCAAGCCACACAGCGTGAACCTCACAGAACAATGCACATGCAAGCCTGCACCGCGAACTGTTTTCTGCCGCTTGCCCCGCTTACCCCACTTGCGTTGTTCAGGAGGCGGGAGACGATATGTGCCACTTGCCGCTGCCGCACTTGCCCCACTTGCCTCTTGCTCTACTTGCCACGCGTGCCAATGGGTTCAGTGGCGGGGCCAGCCACAAGTCTGCCCGAGGCAGACTTGCGCTTGGGGTCAGTGCCTGAGCCCCGTGCCATTAAAGCCATGGCAGTTGCTGGGAGGGGTGAAGGGGTGGGGTTTAACGGGCCGATGGAGGAACGTGGGGGGGAGGGTATTGCTACAAGTCTGCCTCAAACTGAGCTGTCTTTGAGGCAGACTTGTGGTTGGGGCCAGACGAGCCCCTTGCTCTTCCGGCAAAGCAAGTGGGGCAACATCAACTAGTGGTTGCCGTGGGCGCTCGCGATGTCACAGCACGACATTTTGCAAAAGGGTTCGGAGAAATAAGCACTCACATGAAACTACGAAGAACGGGACGTGGGGCGTGGCAGAATCAAACAATTCTGAAAAGGTAGCAGCTTCACTTATATTAAACTGCACGACAACAAAGACTACTGCACACAGCTAGGAAACTAGCAGTCCATGAAGGCAGGTGTGAAAGAGTAACAAGTATGAAGTCAGCGACTTTGACAGACTGAAACAGTAGATACTGGTTGTGGGTCATCGGCCTTGGGCCGATGGGTCATGAGTAGATTCGACTGGTTGCCCTCCGGAATGCTGCAGTGCCCTTCCAACTGAACCAAACTCTCAACATGAGACCGGGAGACAACCGGAGACATCGACGAAGACTGAGATAATAATGGGCATTTGGGCGGTTGTTTGTTCGGACTCGACGAAAATTTGGATCATGGCCATGGTCGAATGGTTGATGGCTGCCGCTCTATGGGTCTACGACTCTACGCGTCCATTGTCCGCGAGTTTGGCGGTACAAGATCCGACCGCATCTCGCCACGTGGCCTATGACTTTGTTAACGCACCTGTCACTTCTCTCAATATGAATACTGACGAGGGAAGCGATGTGTCGCTGTGTTAACCTCCGCAGGCAAGTGCCCCATGCCGCCAGAAGTGACGATTGGACGCCGCATGGCAGCCCCTGCCTTGCTCTCACAGCGAGGAGCTGCAGACACGGAGGGAACAACGTGAAAGGATTCGTGCACTCTCGTGTCGCGAATATGATGGGGAGAATGCGAATTAATGTGGTACTGGTACTGTTGGTCAATTGACTTTGCTCCGCTGCTCCTCGCGTGTTCAATACGAGTAGAGCTGAACAGATCCTGGTGGATTTGATGCTGCTCCTCCCAGTGCTTGCGGTGCCCAAATTTTCACGTGAGTGTAGACACTCGCCAAGTGAACGAAACTCTCCATAATTTCCCTTGCACAAGAATTCGTCAACTTCCTTTTTACAGCTCTTGGTAAAAATAGTGTCCGTTTTCTCGCCGCTAGCGCGCGCTAGGTCCTTTAAGGCCCTTGAAATCTACCTTGCTGCTTGATTGATGCCAGGCCGCCCGAGAAATGCGGCATGACGGGAGGAATCTTGCTGGGGCATGTTATGGACTACACGCAGACGCACCTCAAGAGCTCATGCTAAATAACACATAGCAAAATAAAGCGGACGAACACATTCAGGGGAGTCAGTGACATGGGGATCGCCATCACTTTCTTCGGGTTCCATATTCCCATAAGTTGGCTTCTTCCCGTCTTCGCTGTCGAGCGCTTGTCGTGCTTGTGCACAAAACAACTGGCAACTTTCAGTTTCAATCCGAATCACTTTCGGGGCACTTCTTTCGGGTGGATAACTTGGCCATGTACCGGAAAACTCTCACATGACAAGCTGCCAAGGTAGGGATGTTGGACCTCGACTCTGCCAGATACAAGCCACTTGCGGAAGCCATGACGATCAGGACCATTGTGTACACCAATACCGGCAAGGCTTCCAAAGAGTTCGTGACAGCATCTATCAGCAATCTGAACGAGCTGATATATCTTAGCAGCTTCAGCAAGCGCACGATCGGAAGCACATACAACAGCAACGACTGGATGACGCTTTCGGTTGCCGTCGACGATGGCGCAATGACAAAGCCAGCAGTTGCGCGGAGGATCAGGCCGGAAGCTGAAACCATGTCCGCCCAATTGTAGAAGTCCAGTACGTAGGTTCTCTTCGAAGGGGCGGAGAAGAGACGACACAGGAACTCGATGAAGAAGGCAGAATCGATCCCTATCTCCAGAACAGATGCTGCTGCCCCATGAATGAGCGGATACTCATCTCCAACCTCCAAAATGTTGAGCACGAGGCTCATAACCACAAGGAACCGGAGCGTGAGCGCAATCCACCAGGCCGCCCGGCTCGATTGGGGCTCATCCAGGGCCAGCCAAACTGCATCACAGCGCCTCCGCTCAAGAAGCCACTGCTTGGCGGCGCTTAGCCGAGCATCTGCGGGATCCTCCAGGAACTCCGCTTGCGCTCGAGCAGCTCGAGCCGCTCGGCCTTGCCGATAGTTCCCGAGTCTGCGTCTCAGCTGCGCTCGAGTAAGCACTTCCGCGTGGCCAAACTCATTGAACGGCAAGAGCTCTCGCCTGCATGCTGGCATCCGACATGTGGCACACTTGTTCCACCCTTCGCAAGAACCTGGTTGTTGCAACAATGTTAGCATGACTGGGCAACAATGGTTAAACAAACCATAGAGGGCCTCCCCATGCCGCTCAAAGTGGTCTCCGTGCTCAATCCGGTCCCGGAAGTGCTCAGTGTCACCGCCGACAAGATGGACGAGCGGCCAACGCGTCGGATGCGCGGCTCCTCCTGCCAGGGACAAGCACCACGTGCAACCATGTGCTACCGCCGTGGGCTGATAGGGGTGGGGGCACAGCGTCAAGCGCTGAACGAATAGTTCCACTGAAAATTTGTTGCGGCCTGCGGCCGGCAGGTGTCTGGAACATGCAGACCCTTCCCCTTTGCCCACCCTTCCCTTCAGCCCGACGAGAAAAAGGCGGTCGTGGGCATGCACGGACCCCTGGAACCCGCTTTTGGAACAAGCACAACCCATCGTACCCCCATGCTTGTGTTTGGGCCCGCTTTGGACCCGCCAGGGGCCACTAGGAAGCCTTTAGGGCCAAGCCTCCCGACAGCAACATAGTATTTCTGGGGTCCTTGAAGGCTTTCCCCAGGCAACCCTCATAACGTGGCACCATGCCGAGCGGCTACAGGAACTCGACTTGCACGTCCAGTGGCTTGGGCCGGCCCGGCTGCTGGGCCGGGCCATCCGAGCGCACAAGCGTTTACAATCATGCAGGTTCAGGTTCCACAAGCGAATTAAAAATAAGTACTATCGCAGGTCAATGCAGGTCAGCCACGTTTTGACTCAAAAGTTTTGAGAGGAGACCCTTTCCTGAAAGGAGGAGGCCACTGATTGGGATCCCACAGAAGCCCGTGATGCTATGGAGGATCGCGGGGCCGGGCTGGTAGGAATCGGCGCTTGGAGGTGCCGCGGCGTATTCGCTGCATTCGCATTTGCGCCGCTGCTTTGCTTCGGGCTCATTGCGTTCATCATCTCCGAGAGGCAAAGGTCGATCTGGTCAGAAAGCCTGTCCAAGCGTTGATGGATTCCAACAAGTCCGTCCAAACCTTGAAACAAAGGGGAAGCGCAGGAACATCTGGTACCATGTTGAAGCATTCTAACATGCTGTTGACGCAAGCTACGGAAAACGCTCGCCAGCCTTCATCCGTATTCGAAGACTTGACTGTCCCAGGCAGATCGATGGGGTTGCTCATCTGCCGAAGGAGCGGCATGGCGGCAGAGTGTCACCGTCAGCTTAAACCCGAAATGATGACAAACAACTCTCAGGACTGATGTCTCTCCAATGCTGAAAGGAATCAGCACGTGGATTGACTCTAAGCGTCGCGTGAACCGAATCCTAAGTTCAAGTACTTCCTGTCGAAGATCCCTAGGGGAGATGTCGAGGCCAAGGGATGTTTTGTCGTGAATCGCTGGCCGTGTCGTTGGAGGATTCGCATTCCAATCCCGTTTTCAAGAATGCACTGTTTGCGAAGCCATCACACAAGGAATAGCAGAACGTCTCTGCGTGTGGGACTGCTCTGTGACCCCATGCTTATTCTGCGGCATTCAAGATGGTGTGTCTTGTGCTTCGGCGCATTTTCAAACTTGGCAGGTGAACGAAAGAGTTTTTCGGTGCTCAGAGCGCAGTCCCTGATGACAAATGACCTGCTGGCAAGCGGCCATTAAACGCATCGGGTAACGCATGTTCATTGTGACCTCGATGCTGTGGGCCCAGCTCAGCTCCAGAATCAACAAGGGGCCGAAGAATTGCTCGCCATCTCCCAGCGCCCACACCTGGGCTCCCGGCTCTAAAACTTTTGTCCACTCAGCATCTCTTGGCAGAGTCTGGGCAACGGGCGCTGTCCTGCGCCATCTCTTCCGGAGCCTCCTGCGTGGCTCCATCTTCCAAGAAGGACTGAAGCCCCTACCGCTCCATGCGTGGCAGCGAGAAAGGGGGTGCCGTGGCCTGAGTAGGAACCTGCAGCCTCAATGAAATCTCAGCCGAGGACCTTAAATGCCACCGGGAAGAGGAACAGGAAAGCGAAGCGAACTTAAGCACGCCCACAGCATTTTCGACATCTGAGCCGGTCTGAGCCTGAGGCCCGGGGCTCACCTGAGGCAGCCCGCAGATGCAAGAGCGTCACACCAAGACCAAACCCTCGACAGATCTAAACCGCACGGGGCAACGACAGGAGAAACACTGAGTAATCTGGTGGCATTCTGGGACACAAGCTGGAGGCACTGGCAAATCTTCGCAGCCGAGAGATCTGCCACTAACGAGCCGAAGACTCGTCCCCTCTGGCCAATCACTTTGCCCTGTGTTCCTGCAAAACATCGTGGGCGAAGCTAACATGGAATGATAGTACATGCTCATCAGTAAGTACCCGGCGTCAAACGCACAAGAAGCTCAAAGGAAGCTATCCTCTTTGGCGAAGATTCTTTAACCTGGGCAATGCAGGCCAGCAACTCCAATCATCATCAGAGCTGATGCACACTTACTCTCCCCGTCTTGGCAACTTGATCTGGTTGCTCTGTGTCCATCGTTCGTGTCTTATGGCTCCCGCTTACCAGGTGCCTTTGAAGGATGGGTGGGGAGGGGAGAGCTACTCGAAAAGGGACACGAAATGACGCGAGGCCAACTGCCAAGAGGCAGTCCAGATTTGAATGCGCACATTGCAGAACCCAGTCTTGTGTTCAACCCTACTCATCCCTAAGCCTCGAATCCTTGCAACACCTTTGACCAGCCACACCAAGGCTAACAAAGTTCTCACATAATTGCAACGGGCGGTCGACCACAATGCTGCCAAGCCGATATGCCTGACGGGTGGCTGCGTGTAGTCTTCACTTTGGGTCTACTTCGTTTAAGCCTTTCAAACTTCTTTGGAGGTGAAGCTGTGCCTGCTCCATACCGGTTTTGGCAAGATCTGTTGCCCAGTCCTCAAGCTTCGGAAGTGAATTTTAGGAATCAAGCACCTGCATCTTCAAGATTCTTCAAGATGCTTAGCCCTTGTGTCCTCGGAAACATCCCCCACCTTGGCTGGATCTTCTCGAAGCGCCTGCTACAGGGCTAGATGCCAAGGAACAGTTCTTAGCCGTCATGGAGGCACAGCCATCGGAGGCCTCCAAACAAGTCTAGTACCTGCACTTCTCTTGTCGGCCTGGTCGCTCCAAAGAAGCCTTGGCGCTTCGAAGATGCGAGCAGAGGCGCCGTGAGGCTTCTGCGTGGACTGCTGGGCCTCGTGGTCCATCGACGATTAGAAGATCAACAGTTTTTCAATAAAACAATACCTCAGCACCTCTCAAGCTTTTATGCCTCCAGGAGCGAACTAAGCGTGACGTCCTCTTCCAGCTCCAGCTCCTCGGCTCATCTTGCGGGACACCGTGAAATGGCTTCACGCCATCTGCACAGCCAAGCAGCGAGAAGAAGCAGTGGACCGAACACGCGATCATCGATGCTCAAGGCCCACATGGATGTGGGGATCACGTCCTGTTTGTGGGATGTTATCCCGGGCCATATTCTGAGTTCTGCTGCTCATTGTGAAAAATCATGGATAACCTGGAGCCGGCACGCCTCGTGCGGCAGTCTGAGTCGCAGTGAGACCTTGCAGTGTGCACCAGGCTCGATCACCTTGGGCTCCCGAGCTGAGATAACAACAGACAGTAACGACATACTCGCAAAATACTTTCCAAAATGCTCAAAAACACTGCTCTTTGAGATATAGTCTTGCTATGTCTTGCTGCGAAGCTGCTCCGTGAAGTGGTAGGCTGGCGACTCCCATGTCCGACCCATGCACTGTTCGCAGCGCTGCCGAAGACCTCGAGAGGACTCAAGGTTGGCTCTTGGTTGGGATCCGCTAGTGGGGAGTTGCACTCCCCGATACGACAACCTTTTACGCGACTGTTTATACGACTTGCACCACTGCCATTACCACCACTGCTGCATCAACAACAAGAAACAACAAACAACAAACAACAAACAACCAAAACCCAACAATGTTGACTTGGCATTGACAACCCCCCTCTAGGAAACATACCAAGTCTCGGAACTCAATCATTCCATCCCTCGAAACACAAAGGACAAGGTTTGTGCTTGCAGCGGTTAAGCAGTTTGCACATGCCCACATGGAAACGCAAGCGAAACGAATTCTGCACGCAGATTGTTGGCTGTCAGACTTGTCTTTCAGTTTATGTGCATATCGAAAAGTTGTCTGTCGTAGATCGGAAGGCAGGTTATTTGTCAAGACTCTCAGCAACCCCCTTTTCAGCTTTTCGTGTGCGTGTGTGTGTGGAAAAAGTCTGCCCGTTCCCACACATTAGCCCCGCAACAGCCTTCAGATCAGAACGTTGGCTTGGCAGCAGCGCTTTAAGTACTGGATGCCTTGATTGCATCGTCAGTACCAAACTCAAACGCTCAACGGGAAGCTGCGTTTCGTGGAGTGGGTGCAATTTGGGTAGAAACTCGCATCTGCAAGGTGCCGGCTCCGCCGCCAGAACCACCTAGTTTTTCTAGTCAAACTACACCAAGGAGTGCGGGAGTTTGGGAAAGCTGCATAGAGCTGGCAGGTTGCATAGCATCGAATCGTGAGTAGCACCAGAGGCGAGTCGGGCTGCAAGACACTGATTTGCCAACATTGCCTGCGTTAGTCGCATGTTCTCTGTAGATGGCGCTTGGGTCCTACAGCATCCTAAGCCTTCACTACAAAAATCTGCGGTCGTTCATCTAGTACATCGCAACTAGGGCCGGAGCCAGGGGGTGGATCCTACGTTCGTGATCGTAGCATTGAAGGTGACACTCGAAATCCTGCACAAGTCCATGCGCGAAGTCTTTAAAGCGGGGCTCTTTGAGGCTCCTTCGAAGGAGACACGACCGAACAAGCGTCCTGGATGCACGCTTCGAGAACGTCACTCTTCCCATCGAGTACACCTGCGGCCAGGCCCATCCCAGGGGCGACCGGCGAAAACAGGGGAGGGGCGAGTTGAAACCTTGGTATTGAAACCTTGAATACCTAGCATCCCTACACCTTGAAAACTTGAGGTCATAAACCCTTTCGAGCCTTTCTACCGAAAGGACCCCAAACCTCATCTCCATTTCTCATGGCCGAGACTCCCTGTCTGAAGCAAGAGCGCATGACATAGGTTCTAAGCCCCTGAAACCTTTACCAAACCCTAAACACCACCCTAACCCTGGTTCCCAAACCGCAAAATCCTAAACCCTAGCACATCCGAGATCATAAGCTTTTAGGACCTCCGAGATTCACCTGGGTGCCCTAAATTCCCAAACCCTAGCACATGCGAGATCATGAGCTTGCAGGGTTTCCGGAGTGTTCTCTAGGGAGGTCTTTTCGACTTGGGGCCGAGGTGTTGCTGACTCACGCTTTCTTGCTCCGGAGCACTTGTCCTGACTTGACGGTCATTCTCAAGGGACACAAGGAGGGGGACCCTTATGAGACCTTAGCGGTTTTTGAGGGGGCTACAAAAGTATATAGGGACTATATACGGTGTATATATATATATAATATATATGTATAACCCCTAAGGGTCCCTTCCAGGGGTCCCTCCTTATACCCCTTAACACTCCGAACGCGGAACAGTTAACGCATAAAATATGGCGGCCTGCTCCATTGCTGGGTGCTGGTCAAGGAAGGCTTGCCAGTCATCAGACACATCACCGCTTCTCCTTGAAAAGCGAAGACACTGCAGCTCGGCTTTCTGGTTTAGCATTAGAACCTCCTACTGGTTGTCCTCGTGTCGATGCTGACAAAAGGGCCATGAGACCTGGATGCCAACAACGAAACTTACGTTGACAGCGCGCCACAGCTTGAGAACTAAGTTAGCACATATTCACCAATCCACGCCAGACGATCGACATCCAGAGCCGGGCATTGTCCGGGGCATTGTCTGGGACACGATGCTCGTTGTTTCATATATGGTCTGGACACGAATCCGAACCCTTGAATATCTAAGTCCCAACCTTGATTCTATTCCTTGACCAAAAGATTCTGAGTAACACAAACCTTCCGTCAGCTTCGGAGACACAACATACTTTGTGCCTTGTTCAGCGTACTGATCAATTCCAACTCTAGCATTTTTGATGGTCCTAGGGGCAACTGATTTGGTCATCCTTAGTGCATGATGAGGATTGGTGAGGTCGTGAGTCTCGCTACATTCTGGTGGCAGTGAAGCCAGAGCGCTCGTCCACTTTCATGTCTTCAAAGTACCCCCACCCCCCCCCCCCATCCCCAGCAGTTGTTTGCGTAAATAAAGCTCGAAATCACCGACTGTGGAGTGCAGTTGGCCGGAGGCGATCCCCGAGATCTCCAAAAGTGCGACGGTCAATATGCCATTCTGCCGCGTCCGCACAGCAACGAACCGTTGACTACAGAGTGGCGGTACAAATTGTACGGCGGTGTACATGGCATATAGAATCATGAAAGTATTGGCTTCTTCTTAATCTTCTTACTGTTGGGAGTCTACTCCCCCTCGGCTCAGCTCCTGGAACTTCTGAGGCTGGGGCGCGACAAATGCTTCCTGCTCAAGAAACTGACTGACGCACGTTGGCCACGACAGCATGCTGGAGCGCAAAGGACTTGTTTAAAAGCGATGCGCTTTCTAGTGATCTAGTGGCTTTTTGGAACCACAGGCCCCAGGCCACGCATTTAGCCCACTTGCATACAGGGACCTGACCTGACCTGACGAAAGAAGCGGGGGAAAGAATTCGGCTCGAGGTGCAAGAGGGCAGTTGAAGTGGGAAGTGTGGGTGTTCAATTGCTCCTTACAAACATTTCCACAGCTGCATGCTGAGAATGGCGGTGTATCTGCCGCAATATTATTCAACAGTACAAACAGCCCGCATGCCCGTGCCATGCCTGCCCAGGCTGGCATGCGAAGCGTGTGTCGTCCACTCGCCTTATGAGTCCCCTCCTCCCCCCCCACCAGCTTTCGCGTTTTGCAGGTCGCCTACTTGCAGCTGGTCTTGTGTCTTGGAAACTCCGCGGATGAGTGTAGCTTTGGCCGTGAGTGTGTGTCCCAAATAGTTTTGACGACACTCAGGCATGGGGGAAAGCCCGTTCATGTTGGAAGTCTGGACATCTTTTGCATCTGGAAGCTGAAGCTGAAAGAAAGTCTGATCCTTCTGGAAAATCTGGGCAGCCAGCAAGAAGCATAGTGATAGACGCATGACAGGCCATCTTTGCTAATATTCAAGTTAGCCGAGTTTTAGAAAGCCTGTACCATGATACAACTTGACATGCTGGTAAACCTTAGGCCTTAGGCATGATATCCAATGGAGACACTGCTTGGAAGCATATGCAAGCAAGCAACATGTGGCGTTTATATACTCAGCTCTTGCTTCGCATAGTCGACGTACGTAACATGTGTTTGAGGAATCACGTAGCAATTCCGAAACAGTAGCAAAGTCGCCGCATCTTGGTTGTTCAGACAGTCTCTAAACCAGAATGTGCATAAACATCAGCAAAGAGAAGCTAAATGGCAGGCTTCACGTGCGTTTTACTCCATGCTGTAGTTCAGCCCGTGGTTCTTTATCTTGTAGGCCCATTGAATTAACGAAGGCTTCGGACTTGGAAATTGCAACTAAACGATAATTATGATAACTAACTAATTGTTTGATTCACGTGGTCTACGGTACAGCGTGAGGCTTTTAACAACGCATGCTGGTGATTGGCGAAGTTCGATCAAAAAGGGATGCATTTTGTAGCGAATTTCATCCACATGTTGCGGCATTGGTTTGTGTGGCTGCTTTTGGCTTGCACTGCCTGTGTTGTTGACCCCCCAGACCCTTTCTGGGACCTGCCCCCTTCCCTTTACTGACCCTCCCCGTTTTGCTAGGCCCTCTTTCCTCCTTTCACGTGGGCCGGCCCGGCTGCCGAGGCGGCGCGCGCAAGCGTTTACAATGAAATCTGCCAGCCAGTGCAAGACATCACTTGGCTCATCCAAGCACGCAGTTGCCTTCACCATGGCACGGAAGTCACTGTCTGCTTCCTGCACTGTGCACCGGCACTGCTGTGGGGCGGCATGCTGGAATCGAATTCGGGCTAGTCAGGTTCAGCCTCGACATTGGCCACGTCATACGGTGTGCTTGCCTTGGTGCTGTACGATGCGTTCCAACACACAAGGATGTACACCTCATCTGTAGGTACATCCATAATCTACGCCCCCATGTCTCCTCGGTTTGTGGGCAGCACCAGATCGCCCAACTGCAACAGCCACCCGCTCCAACCTCCCGCCGTTAAGGATCTATGTGAATCCTGGCAGGGGCCGCCGACGGCACACCTTCGCATGCCCAGTCTTGCCAACAAAGCCTACCTGGTTTCAGCATGCTTACACTATCCTCCGAAAAACGTATAGGATGGAGGAAGCACGTCTTCCATCCCTGCTATTGTCACGCTGAGTAGCTTCAGCACCCGCAAGGCCTGTCAAGCTGGGATCACAGTCCGCACGCGTGATCTTTGTGGCAGTGAGCTAAAAGATACAAATGTGCTTTGAAGTGTGAACCGAAGGGTTCAAAGTTGTGTGGTTCCTTCAAGTTCTTCGATGATTTTGCATCCTGCAGCAAGCCTTCTTCGGCAGGACCACCGTCTTCGCTGACGTCGCCGGGCTGGGAATCCAAGTGATCTGAGTCATGATCATCATGGACAGGCTCGGCACCATCGCCGGCTGTGGGTCCTCCCATCAGTTTTCAACGAACCGCAACGCAGTAACGTTCAAGATGACCCACAAGAAACGTTCAGGAACGCCGAAGAACAACCAAGGCATCCTTCAAACGATGTGGCCAGTGCTGGCTCAACAGTCTCCGGCGCTGGCTCAATGCTTCCCAATGCCTCCCGGCCATCAGATCACAAGCACACCTAGACATTTTCGCAGTCTCCCAAGAAAAGGATCATGTCTGCGTTACAAGATATGCGAGCCAACCATCCTGCGGTATCTGTGTCGGTGGTATGTCTGGTCGGGACTCGGGGCTTCGCCAGCCGTCTTGGCTCCGCTCGTCTTTTTCGGTCTGAGATAGGCCCCAAATAAGCAACAAGGCCTCAGAAAGAGGTGAACTACACGCAGATCACACAGGCTCAGAGCAGCTGCGGTCACCAAGGTCGCTGCGACCACAAGGATGCCAGCAAGAAATGCGAACTTCCCAGGCGACCTCGCCCTTGGCTCAGGTTCCGTCCAACCTGGCTTCAGCTGAAGTTTAAAAAGGCCGCAGTTACCATGCCACGTGCCACGCTGCCCCACCTTCAGCAGGACTTCTCCGTTGACCTTTGGTCCGAGGAGGCCTCGACTGCATGCTACACACCGTATTGTCGCGGCTTCAGCCAGCTCACCTGCTCGAGGCTGATGAAGAAGATATGCTTCGAGGCAATGCATCCACGCCATCGATATCTTGGGGATTACCTCCTGCAGCGTCCCCTGCACACAGGCGATATGACATGTCCATCGATAGGGCTGACAGCCACACTTACTGATCAGCAACTGGCATGAATTGCATCGCACAGCCTTGGCCTTTGGAAGCCGAAAAGCGAGCACGGCGTTGCTGTGAGACGGTCTGCCAGAAGACATGTTCGCGGTTCTTGTTTGCCACTTGCTTGCATACATCGACTTGAAGTTTGGCTCTGTTTGGTATTTTGTGCCGCGGTGCGCCTTGGCCATCTCATCCGACCAAACTCGGTGTCCACGCTTTGGTGACATGGCATTGCTGCCCTCACACTTCCTGGAGGCACGTTCCATCACGTCTTGATTAATTTGCTTACTCGCTTCTCAGGGTCTTGCTGCATCCGCTGGCGCAGCTTCGCTTCAAGCTCCGCAGTTGTTGAAGACATGGCTGGGAGATCACACGGCCTAAACGACCTGAGACCGATGTGATGCGTTGACTCGAAAGCCTAGTGCCAGGCCAGCTCATGGCATGCTCACAGTTGAGTAGACTGAGTTAGAGGGCAGACTCAGACTGCCGTCACTGTTGTGCTGTGATCTTCCACAAGTCCTACCTACACACCTACATAAAGGGGCTTGCCCAAATAGCAAGCCTGAAGGAGCCAAGCACAACACAGAGCAACCTCACAATGAAGCCTTGGCGGGTGCCTCCTCGGAGCCGCAATTCCCCAATATTCCCCCCATCATGCCAACTTGCACACTATTTTTCTCCATGCTGTTGTAGCTGAGCTAGGTATGTGCCGTCATTGTGCTAGACAAGTACTGGACATGCTTGTGGCCTATGCTGGGCTCAGTCTACAGCTCCGCGGCCTGGGCGGAAACGCATCACAGCAGCGCTTTACGTACTAGGTTACTGAGTTACTGTTCATCGCTGACGACTGCCGGGAACATGCACTGCTGCAGCCATACAGGCAACTCGAACGAGTTACTAGATATGTGTAGCAGCTTCTCTCGGACAGCAACATCACAATGCCGCACGCCCATCTCTTCTCTGAGCACCGGGCATGCGAACGAATTAGGACATTGTCTTCAAGCCACTTCTCGTACTTCTCATTTGCCCGGATGGGCATCCACTCCCACTCCAAGCCGCCAAAGTCCACTGCTACTTGCTCCTGCTCAAGGACATGCGAACACGTGCTAGCGAGAATCCCTGAAACGGGTGGATCCCTCTTGCCATTTGGTTTGAGATTGCCTTGGCGGCGCTGAGAGTCTTCAAAGTGATGTAGAAGTCACTGCCAGAGTCTCCGTGCTTCTCTACCTTGCTGCAAGAGCGCACGTTGTCATTTCCATCGCTGTTAGCAGACATGTCTTGGCACTGTTACAACATGTGGCCCAGTGCCTGTGCGCAAGCCGAATATTTGACCTGGCGGTGTGGTAGTTTCCTCGACTGGAAAACATTGACCTATCCATAACTCTGGCCTCGACAATTGACTTGGCCAACCCCTGGGCAATCTCGGCCGTCGTTCCGTTCACCTCACTTGCATAGGCACCCGCATGTCTTCTGGGACATCGACACTCTGAGCGCCAGAGACACTCACCAGAGCCATGCCCATAACGTACTTCGGCTCATCAGCTGATGAATCCGCTGAGGCTTCCTCCAGGTGGCACGACAAAAGCGTTCTCGCTCCTGCGAAAAACTCCCCGAAGTGCCTCACGTGCCTCACCCTCATGCGGGAGCGCGCTTGTGACAATCATAGGTAGATCATATGGATGATCGGCCGCGATCGCTTCCATCAGCACGGCAAAAGGAACCTGTCTCAGCGCTTGGGGTTTCTCATGGCATTCGGCACAAAGCACACCACTGCTTTAAGCAAATTCTGCACCGCGGATGTGACGCCTCTGAGTCGATCGTCGCTCTCACTTCCTGCTCTTCCTCGGTGTCATGTGCTGAGATGTGCTGCTCCTGAGACCCTGGTAAGACACTTGTGCTTCTTTCTTGCCCCGCCTGAACGCTGGAGTCCCACCAGTAGAAGGAGTGGATGTCCTCCATGTGAAAGCTCTCAATGCTGTGAGATTGAGCTTCTAGCCGCTTCCTGGCACGCGGCACTCATCGAGCTCAACGTCCGCTCCTTCCTAAACGAAGATCCCAGATAATTGGCCAGAGGCGCTTCACGGCTTCTTCCAGATTTTGTCCCGCCGTTCGGTTGGCAACTGTTGTCGACCTGAAGGTTCGAAAGGGTTCTGAGAGGCTGGAGATTCAGTACCGGCAGCATCTGAGAGCCAATCGCCCAGTCAGCATATGCACCGGTCAGCAGGACCAGTAGCACGCAAGGAGACACAGACATTGCGCACGATCTGGCGTAGGCAAAAGGCTGTGTGAGGAGTGCTGTGCCTGTGGTTCATGGCCTGAAGCGCAAGTCACTGAGAGTAACATGGCGGCGGGAAGAAACTAACGAGAAGTCCAATTCATGCAACCTTCATGGCTGCGGCCAGTACAAGTGTGAGTGGACTGCATACGATACTTTCTTTTGCGGTCGTTCCGCGGCAGAGCTGCTGTTCAGCTCGGCACACCACTCCCGAGAATGGCGACAACAGCCCGCTCTTCAGACTGTCCATCGCATGGTCTGAGGCCGACCGGCTCGACGCAGGAGGCTTGACGTACATTGACGTACATGGTTTTTACAAGCTAAGCTGGTAGCTCAGTAGGGCGCCCAAGTCCATGTACCCCAGAAAGGTCCAAAATGTGTTGTCATTTGGCCTGGACTCCAAGGGACATTTGCATCCTTCACACTTTGGTTTGAAGGCTCCTGCCATGCCCGCATACGCCCGCCTTTTTCCCAGAATTGGCTTTCTTGCCGGTCTCGTTCTTCTTCACATCCGTCACGGCAGGCTCGTCATTTTTCGCGCCTTCTTCCTTGTCATTTGAACCAAGAGAAGGGCAAAAGTTGGAAAACATGTGAATTGAGGCAACAACGTCTGAATCCAGCGGCTCGCGGTATGAAGTATCACAGTCCTGGCACTGCGTTTTTGCTACTCAGGCACTGGGCCGGGGGCAGGCTGGAACCTTCAAGGTCTGGTTTTCCCACGACTGCGTCAAAGCCACCACTTCTGCCTGCGCTTCCTCCACCTGCAGCTGAACTAAGCCCCTTATCAAGCGATACCCCTAACATCTGCGAGACGTAGTGCGTGAGTAGTGGTTCAGGACATCTGGCCTCGCGCTCAAGCTGCTTCTCTTGATATGATTTTGTCGCTATTCGGGATCCTGGAGCGTGGCAATCCATTCTGAGCCACCTGGGGCCGCCCTTCGCATGAAGCAAGAAAATATTAGCTCACGCTGCCGCACCTGTTGTCTCCACGATGATGACGACACTGCTGCTATTCCGCCTAACCGCTAAACATCTTCCGTAAGTTGATGCACGGGCCATTGCCCTGTTGATCTGCCCAGGAACACGCACTGTCCAGGTGCACTGCGGCTGGGTCTTCTTGCACATGCCACGATGAAAGGTGCTTCCAGGAATCAAACCACCAGCCTGGCCCCACGGACTGATTCGGGAAATTGCAAGTAGACATGGTCTCTTATGGTGTCTCAGTGTGCGAAGGCCTTGTGGAAGCTTGGTGCGTACTCCGGGAAACGATAGCATTTGTCACCTGCTCCACCACTGTGCTGACATCCTTGTTCAGCTGCTCTGCATGAACCACCTCCCGCTTTGCAGCCAATCCAATTCCGCTGGCCCTGCAAGCCGTCCACCCGTGCCTGAGGTTCAGAGCACAATTGTTCGGCAAAAAGCGATATCCCGTCGCAAACAAGAACAACTTTGAGGCATCTGGATCTTCGGGCCTTTCGCGCCATTTCAGTGGTGACATCAATCTCCCAGGCCTTGCAAAAATGCCAAGGATGGCTACGCCAGTTCTCAGTAGTGACGCAGAACGGCGGCTGCCGGTTGCATGAGCTTGGAACTGGCTGATCCAGAGCACGCAACCCGTTTTCTCGATAGACCGTCCTGCAGCCAGCATCTGGCAAATTGCGACAAACTCCCATATACGCCCATTCTGCTAACCATGCCTCTTGCCGGATGGCTTGTCCTTGGCAAAAACACGGACAAGCACGCAGACTCAGAAGAAACAAAGAACACCGCATCTTTACAAGACGGAAATTGCATCCTAGCGCTCTCACCGCTCTCACTCTTCCGATCGAAGGATAGAAAAGCATGGCTAGCCTGGATCTCCACTTTGGACTCGACCTGGCGAACGTTTGGACCGGGGGCTTCTTTGCGAAGAAAGTTCGGAAATCACTGGATTGACACAATTCTGGTCAAGCAATGCCTGGCGAAGGTGACGCTTCTCTGTCGTAGTGAACACCTGGACAGACAGGCACATGACACGCAATCGCGCACAAGGGTGCTCACCGTCCGGGCACCTTGGGCGAGTACTGCTCGATGGCACGACAGCCTTCTGGCCTGGCTGCGAGGATGGACTCCCACTTGGCCAAAAACAAACATCCTGTTGGCTCAAGGGCTGCTCCCTCGGCGATGCCACACACACATCACGTCAAATTCGTGGCAACCCTTGCCAAAGCGACTTTTCCACGTGACACCTGGGCAGCATGAAAGTCCGTGCGGGTCAAGCGCTTGCCTACTGATGCCGAAGTAGGACCAGAACAGTCCTGGTTGTGAAATTGGTCGTCGTGCAGGTCGCCATGCCACTGCCTGCCAGATCCGACGCGGCCATCGACATCGACACAGAGTGTTGGGTTTTGCCATGTGCTGGAATGGGGGATCGCGTTTTCAAGAGGAGTGTCTCAGTCGTGTGAAACGTGCCACGAGACATGTCACAACTTTATGTTACACGCCGTGGCTTGTGCGCAACGAGATCCTTAGACAAAGACACCCCTGCCAACTGTCTCAAGACAGACGGAACCCCGCCGCTGGCTCCAGTGTCCGGAACATTACCCGTCCGCGGACCGAGAGATAGCTGCACAGCTTGTGTTTCGGCTCCTGGGTCATGCGGCTGGTTGTCCAACATGTACTCTTCCGCGGGCCCTTTCATCGCAGCCGCCATGCGAGCCTCCTGGCTGATTACTTCGACTGTCCCACTCGGAAGGATTTCGATCCAGCGGCCAACGTCGATCATCGAGTTGTTGCCAACTTGGCCGCACATGTTGGAGCCATAAGCACCAACTTGACCCAAGGCACCTACAATGACTGTGTGTGAGTCACCTGCAGCAATCGAGAAAGCACCGTCTGGCAAGTCCAAGGGTGTTGGCTCAGGCACGCTGTACCTTGCAGGGCAATCTAGAGTTCTGTCGTCAGCTGGCATCACGCCGTGGCCCCATGCGCTGGCACGGTACTCGTCGGTTGCACAGAAGCTGTGACTGCCACCTGCTGCGACAATCAATTGCTTCCTGCAAACAGCACATGGAGTGGCTTGGAAATCAAGTAAGCTGTTTCCAACCTGGCCATGGTCATTAGCACCCCAGGCCAGCACGGTTCCTGTCCTGGTCACCGCTAGGTTGTGGGTGCTACCTGCCGAAATCATGCTGACGCCGGCGCGGACGACCTGTACAAATTGTTCACCGGCCCCTTGCGAGGTTGCTCCATAACCCATACCACAACCAAGGACCTCGCCAGTGTCTGTCAGCACAAGGCTGTGATACCAGCCTGCCGAAACTGCTGCTGCCTTGGCCCCGCCAGGAAGAGCGGTGACAGCTGGTTCACGTCGTTTCTGCGTGCTGCCATCTCCGAGTTGTCCATAATCATTGTTACCCCAACTCATGAGCTGACCATCTTCGCAAACGGCCAGTATGTGCTTCCACCCCCCGGACACATGTTTGATCTTCCGTCCGCCTGTGTCCAGCTTCACTGGTGTTTGCTGTTTCTCGATGGCGGTCGGTATGCCAAGAATAGAGTCCTCGTTGCAACCCCAACCCCACAGCCAGCCATCCACATCAATCATCAACGAGAACTGCCTACCTGCAAACACATAGCGCGCATGCCCAGGCTCCACCACTACCGTTGGAAATAGGACATCTTCCAAACTGCTGTTGCCAATTTGACCATGTGAATTACTCCCCCAGGCCAGGACATCACAACGTTCAGTGACAACCAAGCTGTGCGCGCCGCCAGCTGCAACCCGGCAGTAGCGATGTAGCGAGGAACCAGGGTCCATGGAGAGCCAGCGGCGCAACACGACTGTCAAGCTTGAGCATTTCATACACGATGCAGATGCAAGGGTTATTGGCACAGCACAAGAGAATCTGCGGGCTCTATGCCCTCTGTGTGCACAATCGTCTGCCGAAGTGGTTGGGAGACGTTTGGCCAGGTAGAGTTCAATTCGCAGCCAGGGCCGCTAGCTCCCCAGGGGAATGCGCGATTTTTCTCACTGGCACCGGAGTTTGATGGTTCGAAAAAAGCGCCAAAGGAAGCAAAGGAAAGGAAGGAAAGGAAGGAAAGGAAGGAAAGGAAGGAAAGGAAAGGAAGGAAAGGAAGGAAAGGAAAGGAAGGAAAGGAAGGAAAGGAAGGAAAGGAAGGAAAGGAAGGAAAGGAAGGAAAGGAAGGAAAGGAAAGGAAAGGAAAGGAAAGGAAAGGAAAGGAAAGGAAAGGAAAGGAAGGAAAGGAAAGGAAAGGAAAGGAAAGGAAGGCAAGGAAAGAAAGGAAGGAAGGAAAGGGAGGAAAGGGAGGAAAGGGGAGGAAAGGGGAGGAAAGGGGAGGAAAGGGGAGGAAAGGGGAGGAAAGGGGGGGAAAGGGGAGGAAAGGGAGAAAAAGAAGGAAAGGCAGGAAAGGAAGGGGAAAGGAGAAAGGAAGGAAGAAAGGAAGGAAGGAAGTAAGAAAGGAAGAAAGGAAAGAAGAAAGGAAGGAAGGAAGCAAGGAAGGAAGAATCGAAGGAAGGAAAGGAACGGAAGGAAATGAAAGAAAAGGAAAGAAAACGGAAGGAGAAAGGAAAGGAGAAAGGGAAGGAGCAAGGGAAGGAGCAAGGGAAGGAGCAAGAAAAGGTGCAAGGGAAGGTGCAAGGAAAGGAGAAAGGAAAGAATAAAGGAAAGAAGAAAGTAAAGAAAAAAGGAAAGAAGTAAGGAAAGAAGAAGGGAAAGAAGAAGGAAAGAAGAAAGGAAAGAAGAAAGGAAAGAAGAAAGCAAAAAAGAAAGGAAAGAAGAAAGCAAAGAAGAAAGCAAAGAAGAAAGCAAAGAAGAAAGCAAAGAAGAAAGCAAAGAAGAAAGGAAAGAAGAAAGCAAAGAAGAAAGGAAAGAAGAAAGGAAAGAAGAAAGGAAAGAAGAAAGGAAAGGAAGGAAGGAAGCATCGAAGGAACTAACGGAACGTAAGGAAAGGAAAGGATTTGAAGGAAACGGAAAAGGGTAAAGGGAAAGGGGAAAAAGGGGAGAGAAAGGGGAAAAGGGGAAAAGGTTAAAAGGGGAAAAGGTGAAAGGGGAAAAGGAGAAAAGGGGAAAAGGGGAAAAGGAGAAAAGGGGAAAAGGGGAAAAGGTGAAAAGGGAAAAAGGGTAAAAGGGGAAAAGGGTAAAGGTGAAAGGGTGGGAAAAGAAAAAGGAAGTTAAAACGAAAAAAGAAAAAATGAAAGACTAACACAAAAAAACAACAAGAGGCAAAAGGAAATGATAAAGGAAAGGAGAAAGGAAAGGAAAAGTGAGAACGACAAATGAGAAGGGAAAGGAAAAGAAAAGGAAAAAGTAAAGGAATATAAGGAAAGGAAAAGGAAAGGAACAAGGAACTGCAAAAGGAAAAGGAAGGGAAAAAATAAAGGAACAACGTTGAACAAGGTAAGGAAAAAAGTACGGAGTAAAGGAAAAGCAAAAGGAAACGGAAAAGTAAAGGAAAGGATAAAAGAAAGGAGGAAGGACAGCAGGAAGGACAGGAGGAAGGAAAGGAGGAAGGAAAGGAGGAAGGAAAGGAGCAAGGACAGGAGCAAGGACAGGAGGAAGGAAAGGATAGGAGGAAGGAAATGAGGAAGGAAAGGAGCAAGGGCAGGAGGAAGGAAAGGAGGAAGGAAAGGAGGAAGGAAAGGAAGAAGGAAAGGAGGAAGGAAAGGAATCATGAAAGGAGTAAGGAAATAAGGAAAGGAGCAAGGAAAGGAGCAAGGAAAGGAGCAAGGAAAGGCGGAAGGAAAGGAAAAGAAAAAAGTGAAGGGAAGGGAAGGAAGGAATGGAGGAAGAAAAGAAGGAGAAGGAAGGAAGGAAGAAAGGAAGGAAGCAAGGAAGTAAGGAAGGAAGAACAATAAAGACAAAGTAAGAAAGGATGAACGGAAGAAAGGAATGAAGGAAAAAATAACGAACGAAGGAAGAAAGCATGGAAGACTGGATAAAATAGCCTGACAATATAGCAAGTGCATGCAGCTAGAAATCGAAGAGTTCTTTTGAGAGAAGTATAGTTTAATTACCGCTAATAGCATTATGAATATGTAAGGTATTTAATTTGCCCACAATGCCAGGTCTAAAAATGGTGCTAGGCTACACCGCCCTGCGGATTTGCAACATGCATTTGATGCCATTGGCGCTTGGGGGGCCCGGTTGGAGATTCTGCTTGGTTGTAATTTGTAAGACACGTAGGTACAATTTTTTCTCCACGCCGCACAGAGACGGAAAGCATGCTCCACCAGCGACGCGCCAACGCTGTTCGCGCAGGGCGACCAAGCGCCGAATCAGCTTCACCTCGTACCACCGCCCGAGGACGCATAGGCTCTGTGCGCCGGACCGGCCACCAGTTTTTTTAAGCTGCTTTTTTTGCCACCAGTGCCGGGAAGGTGGCGCTCGCGCTGTCTGTCGCCGCTGCGGCCGGGAGAGGGCGCGCTGTCGCGGTGCAAAAGCGACGCGAGCTGGACGCGAGGGTAAATTCGAGCAAAAGGCGAAACCGAGCGGCGTGGCCCCGTAGGCCGTAGGCCTGCGGTCCTCGGGAGCTACCCGGCGCGGTGGCCGTCTGCTGCCCGCGTCCTCCTGGCGCGGCCGACATCTCCAAAAACCACCCTCGCGTACCCTCTCTCCCGGGTTCTCCTGTTGCGCACACTTCGCCTCCCGCTCCCCTTGACGGCTACGTGCGAGGCGAGGCCCCCTGGAGCATGAGGCGGCTCGAGTCTGCAGGGAAGCTGGGGCTCGCGTGCGTGATCTCAACCTTGACGCAGCCCGCCAGGATGAACAACGGATCGCATGGCCTTCCCATTTGGGGCGGCGCCCAAGTCGCAGGCGACACAACACTCATGTCTCCCCTCACGGCTGCTGGGCCCCCCCGCCAAGAAGGTGGCAGCGCAGCCGGGGCGGCACTCCGCATCGCGCGCCGGCGAAGCTCCGCACCTACCATGTGCGCAGCCGCTTCTGCATACGTGCTACGCTGGTCTGCACTCATCTCGTTTGCAGTGCACACCTGGAAGCAATTCGGGGGAACTTCCAAACTCTCTGGCGTCTGGGGTGTCTGTCGTGAACGGCCATCGCACAAACTGTAACGTTGTTCCGGAGTGTGATGGTCAAATAGAAAGTGGACGCATCGCGTCATTGCAAAACTTGCCACGCCTGGTTGAGGAATTGATTCAAGGTCAGGCCCAATTGCAGCACACGCTCTCCACACTGTCCAGTCGCTTGGATCTTTTCTGTTCGGTTCCTCCGGTCTCCTCTGCTTCGAATCCCGTTGCGCAGGGTGCGCAAGCGCCAGGTGCTCATCCGCCTCCGGGTCAGCATGACGCTCGCGTGCCACCGGTTCCTCCGCCTCCTCCTGCGCGGGTAGCCCTGTCTCGCGTGAACATGCCGACACCAACCACGCAGAGCTCGCGCCGGATGTGCGTGTTTGTCGACGCGCCAATTGCCGTAATGCATGTGCAGATGCATGTCGCACGGGTTTTTGCCCTTCTCATTGCTCCAGCCGACGTTGTCCATGGAATGTCAGCTTGGCAGATGCCCCTGCTGCGGCCGCTGTGCAGTCGCCCCGCTCCTGTCGACGGCCGGGTTGTCAGGGTGTTGTTGCCACTTCCTGTCGAACAGGCTTCTGTGCTGCCCACTGCTTCAGCCCGTGTTGTTCTTGCACACAAGGGCCCCCGCGCCATTGCGGCACGTCGGTGCCCACGGCTCCACCAACCCAAGCGTGCCGCCGTCACGATTGCGACTCTGAAGTTGGACCCAATTGTTATTCAGGCTACTGCGCGTTCCACTGTTATAGCCGAAGCTGCGCGTGCAGGACACGGCTGCACTCTATCCCTGCGCAACCTCCTGATCGTAACGTACCGCCGCGTCGACGCGTGTGTAGCCATGACAACTGTGGTCCAGTCGAAGTGCCGAACAGGATTTTGTCCGCAGCACTGTGCTCGGTATGCTAGCACAAGTTGCCCTTGTCACGATGCCCCTCTCGCACGTCGTTGCCGGCGTCATGGCTGCGCCGGGCTTGTTGCGGATGCTTGTCGGACCGGCTACAGTACTGTGAAGCACACTGTGTCAGTCCTAGGTGCTGCGGTCAGTCGAATAGTCGTTCTGGGCACCCGTGGACCTCCTCCGTTATCGAGGCCCCTTTGCGGCGCTATCTCTTTGAGATGTGTTCCGGCCTGCCCGATCATGTAGATCATCTTCCTGCTCATATTCGCACATCTCTTGAAGAGTTACGCACCTTTGCCCAGGAAGATGTGTCGGGAAACGGGGGCGGCCCTCGTCGTATTCGTCAACACCGCGGGGGCCGCACTATCTGAGTTTGGCGCTTTTGAATTGCAACCGACTGTGGTTGCCGAGCGGATCGGAGCACGCTGCTTTCCATGGTTTGACCGGCTTGTTGCAAACTTGGAATGTTGACCTTGTGTGCGTCCAGGAAACGCGTGCCCCTGCCGGAGCAGCTTTACCAGTTGATCAGCCATACGTGCATGATGGGCCTCAAGGTGTTCATGGCTGTTAGGCTGGTTCCCTTGTCAATGGGGCGTCATCCTCGGCGCCAGTTTCGCTCCACGCTGCCTCATCACGTTTGAGATGGAGATGCTTCGCCCCGCAATCCAATACGACTCATCCCATTTTGGTTTGTAATTTTTACGCGCCTCACGTTGGCATGCCTGTGGCTGTGCGTGTGAACTTTTGGCACGAACTTCGCGCGTCAATTCAGGAAGTCCTTCGCCTCCACCCGCGTTGCCAATTATTGCTAGCTGGCGATTCCAATGTGTATATGGGAGAAGTTATGGGGTCGGCGCGTGAGCGCTCCTGCGAGCGGCAGCTCCGTGAGCTAATCCGTGGCATTTGTGCGGACTTTCAACTCGTTATCGCGAATCCCCTTCGGGGTCCCAGAGAGACGGGTCCTTGAACGATCGTGTGTCACGATCAGAAAGAATTGAAAGTGAAACAATATGTACATGATCAAACACAAACATCAAGGAATGCGACGTGAATCAACCATATCAAAACCATCGCTCTGGCTCAAGCATCGACTTGGTCGCAAACGTTGGACGTGTGTGATGTTGTTGTGCACGATGGTTCTTCATGCGGGTGCCCTGAAAGCTCATGCTGTCCCGTCCTCGGCAGCGACCATAAGGTCCTCACCTTCCAAGTGAAGGTGTCCGCGCCTCCTGTTGAGGATGCTTCTCCAAGTTCTTCCGCCTACGTCGAGAAAACCCATGCTGTACTGTTGCTGATCGTCGTGTGATGTTGGACATCCTTTACGGTGAATTCGTTTCCATGTTATGGCATTCGTGTGCTCCCACCTTGCATCCTGAACGAGTGGGCCGCCGTCCTCAACCGGATTGGTGGGACGGAGAATGTTATGATGCCATGGTTGGTAAAAATGCTGCGTGGCGTCGTTGGTGCTGCGAACGCACCCCTGCTGCCCAGCAGGCCTTGCGCGCGAAAAGGCTCCACTTTCACCATTTGGTTCGCAAAAAGAAAGCAATCTTTTGGCACACGTGGCTTCAATCCCAGGAGCACGCCACGCAATCGAATCCGTGCATTGCTGCCAGGAACATTCGGCGACAACTTGGAACCTCCAGGCACTCTGTCCCGCGCTGCATGCGTTCTGCGTCGCCCGAGTGCAATTACGTTGAGGGCGAAGCTTGCTTGGAGGCCTGGCGTTGTCACTTTCGCGATGTCCCGGCTTCCGCCGTGCCAGGCCCTCGCGAGAGCGGGGTTGATGCCCAGATCTCCGTCGGTTGCGTGAACAAACGGCTTGTACGACCGGCCGGTTGGATTATCCGCTCTCTGAACCCGAACTTGTGCAAGTTCTTCAAGAACTGCCTTGAAGAAAGCGCCGGGTCCCGACGGCTTGACATATGAGGCCTTTAAGGTTGATGACGGCATTCTTCGTTCGGCGTTATTGTCTTTCTTTGAGCTCGTTCGGTTCTGGGCTGTTGTCCCCTCGGTGTGGCGGACTGCTATTGTCAAGCCCTTGCATAAACCGGTTCGGCCGAGGAATTCACAAATTATCGACCCATAAGTTTGTTGTGTTGCGCATCAAAAAATTTTCGAGAGATTGTTGTTACAGCGCCTGTTGCCACATGTCAGCCCGGGTGCTGAAGAACACGTTCACACTCTTGCTGAATGTCTACGCCTCAGGGCCCGCAAGCGCACGTTCTGCGCCTTCGTCGATGTGCGTAAAGCGTTTGATGTCGCTTGGAGGGATGCGGTCAAGGTTAGGTTAGCTGATTTGGGTGTCACAGGCTCCATTTGGAAAGTGTTGGACGATCTTCTGACTGACACGTCCGCGCGTGTTGCGGTGAATGGATCCATGTCTCAGCCCTGGTCGGAAACCGCTGGCGTCCGTCAAGGCAGTGTTTTGGGCCCACTCCTTTTCAACATCTTGTTTGACAGCATTTCCGCAGCTGTCCGTGCCGCGTGCCCTGGTGTTGCCCTCGGCGGCAGCGGCTCGCTCAGGCTCACGCTGCTGCTTTACGCTGATGACTTGGTTGTGTTGGCTGAGAACCCTCGAGATTTGCAGCGGGCCCTGGATGCCATTGAAGCTTGGGGATCCAGTTGGAGATTCTCTGTTGGCATAGGGCCTGAGAAAACTGCTGTTCTTGTTGTGGGTTGTAAGGGCGCCCAATTTTCACTTCCGCCTGCAAGGCGCTGACGTGCCAGTGGTTTCAAAGTACTGTTACCTTGGTGTTTTGTTTCAATCATCGAGGGCATGGTCAAAGCATGGCCGTCGGCTTTATGAAAAGAGTAACCGCAAATTTCATCCATTCCTCGCCTGGGCCGAGAATCGTCAGTTGCCCACCGGGTTTCGCCGCAGTTTGTTTCAATCATACGTTCTCCCGTCGATGCTCTACGGCTCCCAATTTCTGAGTGCTGCTTCCATCTCTTTCTTTGTTGGATACCAAGCTGCGGCAATGGGGTCGTCGTCTGTTGCAGTGGCCTGCCGGGGCTCCAGGTGCAGCTGTGCTGGGCGAATTGGGCTGGGTTTCTTTTGCCTTTGAGGTTTTCAGGGCTCAGTTCGGTTTGGGCGCCTGTCCTCTGTGCATCCTGATGGCGCTCATCGAGGTCTGGCTGCTCGTGTATTTCGCTATGCCCTAAGGCGGCAGGGTTCTTGGGCCCAGCAAGTGTCCACTAGTTTGTGCGAGAACGGTATTGATATGCCACACTTGTGGGGGGTGTCGCGCAGCCCGCGCGCTCTTGCTGTGTGGCAACGTCGCTGCATGCGCCCCGCCTTGCATAGGAATGCAGTGGCTGCCTGCCGTAACGAAGTTGCGGCTATGCCTTCGCTCCGCTTGTTTGCCCAGTGCCACAGCCACATGACCTTTTGCTCATATGTCCACAACTCTCGCTTGCAATCATCAGTTGTGCGTGTGAGTGGTCATTAGCACGCTCGTCATCGGTCTCAGAATTTGCCGTGCCTATGCGGCGATGACGACTGGAGCTTTCTTCACGCAACGCGCGTTTGCCCGATTTTCGCATCCTGGAGGGATGTGTGGCTGCGGCGCTGTGAAGCGGCAGGTGTGCATGGAGTCGAGCAGTTTGCTGACGCTGCCTTCTTGCAGCTGCTCTTTACGCCGCATGACCGGCGCAACTCCATTAGTCTCATGTCTGCCCACTTGAGCTTTGTGGCAGCCGTGTGTCAAGCCCAGCGTTCCGTTCCCTGCTGGACGGTCTGAGCGTGTAATTCTGAATGCTGTTAGTCTGAGTTAGAACCAGACGCCGCTGCCTGGCTCCAAGAACCATCCCAAGTGACCACCATACCATACCAACCCTGAGGCACTATGCAGATCGCGTTGCGCCGGCGCCTCCATCTCACGCTCCAGCTCACCCTACGCCGGTGGGGAACTCCGAGTGCCGCTGAGCCGGCGGCCGCCATACGGCACACACTGCCCAAAACGCCGCAGGCGCGCGTGCTGAGCCGCACTGCGGAGACCCAGCCCGCCATGACGCAACGCCAGCTGCGCACGCAGAGCTGTTGTGGGTGGCAGGCCGGCGGCTGCATCTGCGAACCGAAGAACATCAAGGCGAGGACAGCAGTGTCATGCGCAGCAGCATAGGTGCGTGTGCTAAGTGGCGGAAGTGTGCGCAAAAAGGTACCGAGCACGAGGAGCAGCGCTGTAGGACAGTAGCAACCACGCAACTTGGGTGTCCTCGACCAAGGGCGGAGCTCAGTTTGGCTAGCCAGGACTGACTCGCTGCCTTGAAGCGCAACCGAGCATGGGACCACAAGTAATGCTCAGGCGATGGTACAGGTGCGAGAATGTCATCAAGGTATGCCAGCAGCTGCTTGTCCTCATGCAACTTGGCCTGAAGGGCGCGCAGCGCCTGTGTGGCCGGCAGTCCTCGACGTCGCGGCCGCTCCCCCAGCACGAGAGGGAGGGCATGATGCTGGCAATGCCTTGCGGGGCTGGCAGCGGCGAGCCGCCCGTGCGTGCGATGAGCGCGCGTGTGAGACGCACCTTTCTGACCTTCCACCTGCGTCCCGCGCGCTGCTGCTCTCGCAAGCAGGGCCTCACTCTGCTCGCGCCTTCACCGTTTCGCCCACCCACGAGGCCGTGCGCATACCCAGTGCTCAGTTCCGTGTCTTTCTACTCCGGCGGCTGCGCCTGGCCCTCCCACTCGCTCCGCGGTCCTGCAGCTGTGGGGGTCGGCTGGACCCCCTTGGCGACCACCGGGCTGCCTGCGCCACGTCGGGGGTCCTCGCCGCGCGCGCCGCGCCGCTGGAACGAGCGGTCGCGCGCGTTTGCCGTGAGGGTGGCGCTCGCGTCGCGAGGAATGTGCGTGTCGCGGACATGAACATTGATGTGCCCGTCGCTGATGACCGGCGGATTGAAGTGGTCGCCAACGGGCTCCCCCTGTGGCACGGTGCGCAACTCGCCCTCGATGCCACCCTCGTGTCGCCGCTGACGCGTGCAGGGGAACCCCACCCACGGGCTGACGTCGAGCCTGGCCACTGCGTCGCCGCGGCAGCGAGGCGCAAGAGGCAAGGCACGTATCCGGAACTGCAGCGGGCACGGCGCTGCCGCCTCGTCGTGATCGGGCTTGAGGTTGGGGGGCGCTTCGGCGCTGAAGCAGCCACCTTCCTCCGCCTGCTTGCGCGCCACCGGGCTGCGACTGTCCCGGCGCACTTGCGACCCGCGGCCCGAGCAGCATGGATCTCCCGCTGGACTGCGCTGCTCGCAGTCGCGGCGCAGCGCTCCTTCGCCAGCTCCCTCCTTGAGCTGCCCCTGGCGGGCGAGGCCAACGGCGACGACAGCGAACCCGAGCTTCATGAGCTCCTCGCTGACGGGCGCTGGGAACGGCCGGTCGCTGCAAGCCGCCTCCCCGCCCGCTGACCCCTTCCCGGTGACCCCCGACTCTGTGACTTTCCGGCTGGCGGAGAAAAGGTGCGAAGAAAAAAAAAAAAAAACTGTCTTCTTCCTGGTGAACTTCCCTGTGACCAGCCGTACATTGAGGGCTGGCTATAACACATCCGGGCGAAGGGAAGGAGCTCAAGCGACTTCGCGCAGGTGTGACAGGAAGGCCAAACGTGACATGGAGTCATACGCGCTGCGGCCGTCCAAGGAGACGAGGACCGCGTCGCGGCCCTTAGCGAAGGCGGGCGAGGGCATCTGTGCCTGCCCGAGCCTGCACATCGATCCGGTACAGGCGTGTTGCCCGATCGACAACGGGGGCCCACGGCTATGCAAGCGCACGCGCCACGAGGCCTCGAAACGCGTCGCCCGTGGATATGCTGCACACTCCAGCGTCGGGTTGGCGTAAAACTGTGAGCCGGGCTATGGCCAGTGCTGTCTGTATCACTGCCGGGAACTTTGCGCGCGCTAGTTGTTGCCGGCCTCCGCGAACAGCTCCGCAAGGAATTTGAAGTGTTTAGCCCCCGCAGTTGCCTCGCGCAAATCCACTTCGAAAGCTCGCCTTTGCGGATTGTTGCACATGCCTGATTGCGCTTGTGGGCGGCAGCCTCGTCTGGCCGAAGCTGTTGCCTTGGCGACGCGGCTAAATCGGCTAAGCAACTCGGTGCGGCCTTGGGTTCCCTCCTGTGCGGCGTGCGTAAGAAGCATGTGTGGCACGAGCATGCACAGTTTCCACGCCCGCACGGATCTAGCTGTGTCTGCGTCGCCGGCTGCTGGGCTAAGCGCGCCAGCCGCGCGGACCTTGGTGAGAGCGGGCATTAGTTTAGTGCACCACGCATCGCTGAACGCAGGAACGCCGGCGTGTATTGAAGTGTCGGCACCGGGTGTCGCAGTTCCTCTGCTCGATCGATGGAATCGAGCTGCTCCCAAGTCCGCGCCCCGTCTAGGGCAGGTGGTGGGCATTGAGTCAGGCACGTCATGGCACGTCCGACTGCTCGGAACTACTCCGCTCGCGGTTGTCACACGAGGCCGCCCACGATGTTTATTTCCACATCATTCCACATCTATAATTCATAGGCTTCCAGCAGGGTCGCCTGGAGCGGAAGGGGGGCGTCGGGTAAGGCCAGCAATGATGCGGCCGGAACTGGTGACTGCGCGCATCCCGCTTCTTCCGCCTCAACGCCGGGCAGCAGGCCTGCAGCTCTACTGGCGGCGCTTCCCGCAGGGTCGCCGCCAAATGCAACAGCGGCGCATACAGCTAGGGGGATGAGCAGCTTGCCAGCGGGCACGACCGGGCGCGCTGCAGGCGACGCGGGCGGCGCGAATCCCGCCGCGTGCCGCCGCGGAGATGACGCCGCCCCCCCCCCCCCCCCCGACCTCCGGACCCCGGATGGACATAGCAAGCGGTTAAAAGGCGTGCGACAACATGCACAAGTGCCAGCAGTGCCGCAGTACCTATGACGCATCTCGCGCACCTCCGTCTTTGGCCCCGGGCGGCCCGAGCTCCTCTACTTCGTGCGGCTTCCTTTCATCTTCCACGTACTGTTGGTGACCGCTGGCTCCGGCGCTTTCTCCAAAACCGTGGTGCAGACAGCGCAGGAAGGGTGCGGCATAGCCCAGAGCAACGCCGCGCTCCCAAACTGGTTCGTTTGAAAGAGCAGCGCGTGAACTAGCTCCATGCCCATAAGCACCACATAAGCAATGGCTGACTTGAAGGCCACGCGACACGCGGGCAGTTGGTCAGCCTGGGATGACATTCAACGAGAACATTGAAGCGACAGCACAGCCGCGACTTCAACATGACCGAAAAGCCGCATGCTCATCCTTGGAGGGACACCATGCAGCAATCATGCAGCTATGTCACCAGGTAGCCACAACGCTTCGCTGCTGCCGGAGTGTACTCGCCCCTCGTTTTTGAGACGCCCAACACGCTCTTCCGCTTCCTTTCCTTTTTCTTCTCTCCCGCCTTTTGGCCGAATCCTCAAAGTTGCGGTCCCAACGCATTGCCGTGGCAGCCATAGCCGGATATAATCTATTGCGGCTTGCAAGTGTTGGGAATGTTTGGGAGTCCCTGGCGAGGATGCTGGGCGTCACTGGCGGACCAGCGCGTTTCGGGCGACCCGGAGACAGTGTCTCGCGCCAGCAGCCACCGACTTCCATGCCGAAGCTCCTTGACGCACCATCCTTCCAAGGAAGCTGCTTGGGAGGCCAGTGCGGATGCCGACATCCAGTGTTCGACCGTGACCTGGCACCATTCCCAATACGAGGGACCGTTGACCTTCGATGCGGCGGCACCTCATCGCAGCGACGAGGGTTCACGGTTGGAATCCGCCTAAAACTGCCGCGTGCCTGAGGTAATTATGGTCGCCAAGAACAATGGGGAAACGACAAAAAGCGAGAACAGGGCATGGGCAGGGGCAATCGCCTTTTCGCGGAATCGCCTTGGTGGGGCCCTGCATGCTACCACCAGGTTACGCGGAATGCTGATAACGGTGCAATGCGCGAAAACCGCTAAGCAACGATTCCCGGGAGACCGTGTCGTACGCTTTGGCCGTTCATATGAAACGCGGGTAAACGTTTGGATGGTAACTCCTCGCGCTTGTTGAAGCGGGAACCTCGCTGCATCGGTGCACGTACGACATTCGGGATACGAGAAGACGTTGCGTTGCCCGTCGCATCCCGTCGCTATACAGCACATGCTGCGTGCAGCTTTGCGCAAGCCGTTTTGCGAGCTGGCGCGTCCGCTTCCGGCAAAGGCCGAGGCACGTCGGCGCACAGGCGCGTCACCCAGCATGCGCCCTCTTCAACCGGCCCCGCGGCTCACAATCGGCGGCCAAGGGAATGCGAAAGTGTTTAGGGCGTACGGCTCTGCAGGAGGAAGATCTAATCGCGCGCACGGTTGCCTCTACTAAACCTGAACTCCTGAAACCCTAACCCTGTAACCTAAATGAAGAGGCGACATGGGCTACACCACTCGCAGTGTTCTCGGGCGCGGCAGAAGGAGCTCCGGCAGCACTCCAGGCGGTGGAACTCCAATTCGTTGCTTGCATGGTCGGAGCTATGACGGGCAGCGACCTTGCTCCAGCTGCGCTGTCTTTGTCGCAAGCTGCAAAGTTCAAAGACATATCGGACATGTCGTCTTTAATTTGTTGCCTCCTAACTCCTGGACTGTCATTTTCTTATTCTCGACATTTACGTCACGTGAGTGGCGATACAACCATCATGCATTTTGCTTTGTTCGCGTTGGTCAATGCATGTCATCGCGAGTTGCAAGAGAGTTCCGTCCGTACCAGATTGGCGCGAGTGACCTACGAGAAAGACCGGTCCTGGATTAACAACAAGACGATGAGTCACTGCAAAAGCACCGCATCAGAAGGACCCAATTCTGACTTCCGCTTTCCAGACATGGTTGCATCCGCGTGGACCCACCAAATCGCAAAGCCGAGGTCGAGAAGACAGCAGAGGATGCATCAGCCCCCCCCCCCCCCCGCACGGCCTCAACGCCTTGAGTCGTTTGTAACATTGCGCTTTTCCCTGATGCGGTGTAGGCCATCCAAGTCATTGAAATACCTCGCCAATCAGAAGATCCCTTGCCTTCAAACAGCACTCTCTGAACCCCAACCCCAGGGAAGTTTGCAAAAAGCCCGTTGCCCTCCCGAAATCCCGCTGCCAACCTGCTCCAGTGCTTCTGGATGCTTCGATTGTTATCCGTTTCGGAGCATCAAGAGCCCTCTCTGAGCGTGCTGGCCAGGAAAAACAGCCAGTGCTTAAATGGCACCATCGACTTGTCTACGACGAAGCGGCAAGGCCTTACGGAGATTTATGAGATCACACTCGGCCACTATACAGCCAAGGGATGTTGACAGAAGAGTGCTACCACAGCGGCTGCCCCACATGAGATACCTCGTTGTCGATTCTGATATACTAGAGGAAGATTCGTTGGCACGAAGCCCTTCACGCACGATGCGAACAACGCGAAGTAACGCATCGTACTCATAAGGCTCCAGCTGTGATCCGATCTGGAATTGTCCACCTCAGCAATGGCTGACGGTGAACCACATGGACACAGCAGGAAGAACGTTAAGCTGCCGTCCCTTGACCTTTACTGACTTCCCCGCCTACAAACTCATACATACACTCGCGGTTTCAGTGGTTTGCTCCCGTAAATCTAAAAGGCTCAGCTTCCACCCAGCAGCTTCCGTCATGTCACTTCCCACCTCTTGGAATCCAAACTCATGACGAAAGTTTCATCGCTTCATGGCCGTGCGTAGGGAAACAAGGTCAAACCACAGGGATCACGAAAACCAATCCAGGACAACAAACATGCAGTGCAGTGCAACCGCCTCCTTGTGCTCATTACCTCTCTTCTAGTAAACCCCTGGAACCCCTAGTCTTTGAACCTGTGTGTGTGTGTGTGTGTGCGTGTGCTGTGGGTGTGCGTGCGTGCGTGCGCGGTGTGCGCGTGTGCTCGTTTCGTGCGCGTGAGCGCGGGAGCGTGTGCGCGTGCGCGTGTGCCGCGCGTGTGCGAGTGTGAGCGTGTGCGTGTGCGCGTGTGCGCGTGTTGCGTGTGCCGTGTGCGCGTGTGCGCGTGTGCGCGTGTTGCGCAGAAGTGCGCGTGCGTGCGCGCGCTGTGCGCGCGCGTTGCGCCGCGTGCGCGCGCGGTGGCGCGCCGCGTGCCACGAGCGTCATGTGCGCGTGGTGCAGCGTGTGCGCGGTGGCGCGCGTGTGGCGCGTGTGCGCGTGTGGCCGCGTGTGTGCGTGCGCGCGTGTGTTGCGCGCGTGCGAGAGAGTGAGAGCGCGCGCGATGGGATAGCGGAGGGCGCGCGCTTGAGAGGGCGCGCGGGTCGCGCGGGCGCGCGGAGAGAGTGGGCGACGTAGTGCGCGCGTGCGCGCGTGCGCGCGTGCGCGCGTGCGCGCCGTGTGGAGTGGCGTTGTGAGCGTGTTGCGTGTGCGCGTGTGCGTGTGCGCGTGTGCGCGTGTGCGCGTGTGCGCGTGTGCGCGTGTACGCGTGTGCGCGTGTGCGCGTGTGCGCGTGTGCGCGTGTGCGCGTGTGCGTGTGTGCGTGTGTGCGCGGGTGCGCGGGTGCGTGCGTGCGCGTGCGTGCGCGTGCGTGCGTGTGCGCGTGTGCGCGTGTGTGCGTGTGCGCGTGTGCGTGTGCGTGTGTTTTGGTTGAAACGCGCAACCTAGATGCACTTCGGCCAACCGGCTCGAGCACTCAACCGTCGGCCCGATTTCTTGCACTGGGCCCCCCCCGTGCCCTCATCCCCGAGCCCATCTACGTCGACCCGATCTCGGGGCCAATGCTATGCCACCTATCCCCTATGTAGATCTTCACTCTTCTGCTGAGCACGAGGCAGACGGCACCACGCCATTCCCCCTCAAAAAGAATATGAGGGGAAGTGACAAAATCAGCATGGCACAAAAACAGGATGCAACACCAATGTTCGATGCCTCCGCGGCCTCCATGGCGATCAGCCCGGTGATTGCAAAGACGCTCTCACACACTTGACTATAGTCTTCATAAGTATAAGTCTCCACAAGCTGTTGATACGCTGTTTTTTTGGCTATCGAGAATCGAAAACCACAAGATTGCCCCCGGAACTCTTGGCCACGCTTGGCGCCTCTTAGGCCCTCTGAAACCAGCGGCAGGAGCTGCATCAACAGAGTCCGGACATGACGGGCCATGTGCATCACCCGTGGCATCAACTAGCAATCCTGGACCGGAGGCTGGAGGGTGAGAGGGTGACACGCCTTCATTGGGCTGTTTCGCACGCCGCTCGCAGCCTGCTGGTGCCAGCCTCGCGTTCTCCTCGTAGCTCATCCGACGGACAGTGGACGGGCGACGACGGGGCCAAGTTGCTTACAAGCAGTTCGGCTCAGCTGCTGGTCAGCTTTCCGGCGAGCTGCTTGGACTCAGGAGACCACGCCTGGCATGAAACATCTGCACATATGGGCTCGAGGTCCCGCACAAGGCTGCGCTACGGTTGCCGGATGCTCAACTCAGCAGCTTCTGGTGCAGCAGGCTCGTAAAACCCATGAAGAACTATGTCGGCAGCTCCAGTGTCGAGGATTTGATCTCTCTCGCAGCCGGTGCATCTCATGCCTTTGACACGAAGCAGACACAAGTTGACGAGGAATCCACGTTGCAGACCCTGGGCTGTCTAGAGTCTAGACTTCTCGGCCAAGCAGCTCGTAAGTCTCGCGCTGGCCACCTTGCGGAAAAGCTCGCACGCGCTCAGAACCAAGTGATCTCAACATGTGGAATGTGGGATGCTTTGGCCTTTCTGAACCCCGTGCGACTCCGTCTGGAACCGTAGTTGGTGCTGGCTGTTTACATTGGACCTTTAGCGTATAAACGGTATAGAACTAGAATGCTCTTGATGCGCTGAACATTTTGGATGGGCACTTCCTTACATGTTGATGTCTTGGCTATGGAAAGCAGCGCCTGGTACATTGACAAATCATTTGCGTATACGCCTCCGAAGGAGCCTCCATTGCTCCGACATTCCATTCCTGCTATGGGGGTGCGAAAACCTGTTCTTCGAGGATGTTCGACACGCAACTGGAAGGTGTGCACGCATGCAGGCGTGCAGGCGTGCGGGGGTGTGTGCGTGTGTATGTTATCACCGCAAGCTGTTCAGAATGTGGCTTGATTTTGCTAGGTATTTCTGGGTTTTGGTTGGCTTTCTTTGGTTGTGCTTGCGTGAATAAGATCGGATCTGTGCAAGTCAGGCTTAAGTCAGGGCGCTTGCACATTTAACTTCGTGTGAATTACGTGATACTACGCCTCTATGCCTAGACTCTTTTGTCGCTGTGCAAGTTGGGTAAACAGTTGGCAAGCACGCATGGCCTAGCTGGATCTAGCGGCATAGCAGGCATAGCTGCAATCAATCCGGCCTGGCAAGTCGCCGGCAGATTGCGGTGGATCCAGCTGATCCTGGCGCTACGGACTACGGAACCATCAACAGGACGGAGCTGAGATTTCCTCTCAAAACACTCCTCAGAGCGCGCAACTCTGCGAAGAGCCACCGCAGGGATGCGACGATCCAGCATCTCTTGGTACCTGTTGGCACAGAATGGATTGACGAAGACGTGGTATTTGCAAGTTGCAGCTTCATGACGAGGCCTCTTCTTCGAAGACCAGAGCAACATCATCAGGACGCACAGCATGATGGTTGTGATGCCTGGAAAGCTCGCCCTCTGCAACACCCGCTTGATTTGAAGCTCGGACTCAAGACGGGCCAAGCGGCTGATGATCACAGCCCAATCGAACCGGGTGTACACCTCTCCAATTCATGCGATGGACTCACCACTCATGAGTGCGCTGGTGTTCGGACGCTGTCGCTGCGAGTTGAGCTTTGGCCACTTTGGCTGCTTCGGCTGCTTTGGCCTGGACCGTGACGCTGCCATCGGTCTCTTCAGACATCCGCAGGGATTCTGCAGAGGCAGCTGTCCAAACCTCAGCGTGACATAACACACCTGACCTTCTGTTTCTAGAGGCGGTACCCCTCTTGATGGGTACTTCTCTAAGGCAAATGCCCAGAAGGCTGTGGTAGGCAGGGATCCCAAACCTGCAACTGCCATGCTCCATTACCCCAGCACCAGCACCCTGGTGTGTGAGATCCGTGTCCTAGACCCCGTGGGCGCCGCGCATCCCAACGCAAATCCAGCGGTGCTCAGAGAGGTCAGCGAACACGCGTAGTTGAGTGCCTCGCGAATCTGTTTCAGGAGAAGACTGGGGGGAAACTTGGCCCGGTCACTGCCTCCAGAGGTAGAAACGGGCTCATTCGGGCCACAAGCACGAACTTCCAGCCTGACACACAGTCTTGCACCCTTCTTGCACAGCCAAGGTCTCAGATAAAGCACAGCTCCTGCCTTCCTGCTCGACGATTTCATCCAGCACCTGCGAGGCGCAGACGTCTCTGCGGCCTTATGCATCCTGAAAAGGGCTGAAGACTGCCTCGACCCATTCCAAGTGGCGAAGCCTGATACATTCAACAGGGCTTGAGGGACATGCCGAAAGCCACGCGCGACTCAACGAAAAAACTCTTCTGCTTGGTCGGGTGAAGCTGATGAAATCCTAATGTCACGATTACACTCCCTTGAAAGCAAAACTTGTGCACACATGACGGTGAACGGCGAGGATTGGCTCAGGATCTGCCAACCCAAAAAACAGTTCAACATAAGCGTGCAGCAACTGAAACGGCAACGGCTCGAAATGCTATTATGATGCCGATCACGCTGCGTACTGTGCCTGCTGACCAGACACGACCGGAATAGGGTTCGGCCTGACTAGAAGCAGCTGGAGAAGATCCAACTTGCATCGGCTTAAAAATGGCGAGCACCGAGTGGAGTGAGTTGAGCCCATGGCCGATCGCAAACGATGTAAGCCCGCCGACTGAGACACCGCTGAAGACTGCAACAGTGCCTTCAACACTTTATCAATGAAATGTGCGCTTAATCGCGCACAAGAGTCACACGAACGAGGCATGCATGAAAGCATGGAGAGCCTGCAATAGATCCTTGTAAGACCTTGCCGTCAAAGATGTGCACGAAGACAACCTTGCACCACGTGACAAGAAGACGGCAACCTACGAGTAATAGTGTTGGGCCCGCTGTTGCAGAGCCCCTCTGCACAGGCAAGTTTGCCAACTGTCCTCTCTAGATACAAGTTGTCCAGGCCTTATGGGGTCCCGAACCATATCCTGTCAAGTGATTTATGTATCGTCCCAGACATTTTGCTGCGTAGTCGTCCATGAGCCAACACTGCCGACACGCCCCTTGCGTCGCTGTAGTGTATTGCCATGGACCGCCTTACGTCCCAGGTTGGAGATTCAAGTGCCCTAGAGCTGTGTTGCCTGGGATATCCAAGGCCGGGCCCTGAGCCTTCGTCTCTGTCCCTTTGAGTCCCTTCATCCCAGCCGCAAGGCTATTTACAAAAGCTTATACACATTTATAAAACGAGGGGAGGAGGGGAGGGGGCTCCATGCGGCTCCCACATGCTCGCACGAATTTCATTAAACTGGGCAATGTTGAAATTCAGTTCCATGGGCCCTAAGTTGGGAGCCTGCAGATTTAAAACACAAGCAGCCCAATGCATGTTGTCTAGCTCCTGTCACATCGCGTGAACAAGCAGGGCTTGGGTTGCTGCGCCAGCTCCAATCCACAGGCCGAATGATGGCAGGCAGAACACGTTAGCCTGCCACGCCGAGAATCGCAGACTGTGACGCTAGCGCCACAGAAGTGGCGAATAGATGATAGTAGAATAGAATAGATGTGCTGCAGCTTCAGATGCAACACAACGGGGCTGCAAAGCAAGGTGATGGAACTCGGGAAAAACATGCCCGCCACGCCACGGCCGTGGCAGCGAAGAGGAGCAAGCCGGCTTCGACCTGCGACGCAATTTTTGAAGAAAAAGCCCTGGCTGGTTGTTGAATGATCTTGAGCTTCGAGCAGGCTGCATGTCGAAGAGACGGTGGCAGAGGTCTTTGGTAGCCCCTCCCAGCTTCTGCCTGGAAAAACACCCTGCAACGGCGCAAAAAACGGGCAGCTCGGCAGGTGCCACTGACACTGGGCCTGTGCGTCCAAGCCGCCACAATGCCCAGCAGTAAGAGCCTCAGACGCGACACAGTATGGCCACATATGCGAACAGGAAGAGCGGTACCTACTGAAAAAGATGCGCACCAGTATGTGCCAGTAGATGTGAGCAGCATCAACTGTTCAAACTACTGACTCATGGGTAAAGCATTTTTCAATACTTCGAGCGACCCGGGGCTTGAGGACAGCTGAAGATACCACCGGCAAAATGACGAGCGGCAAAGAGTTCGCCCCATGGCGAAAGGATCGGCAGAACAAACAATTTGTGCTTTGATTGCTCAGATTATCCTCAGATTTGTTCAGCTTAGAGAGGCCATGCAGTACTAAGTTGGACTAGGCGCATCAGTCTGAGGCTCTCTCTGATCTGATTCCTCCACGCACAATGCTGAGCCGCACACAGCGCCAGAAGTGTGGTGACGATTGTTTGGGCCAAGTCGCACAGCCCACACCGTGCCTCGAATGCACAGCCCACGATCATGACCCTTCCGTGGTCTCCATCACTTGGGTTGGAACCTCCTCGGCGGTCAGCACTGCAGGAGCTGTTCGAGCCCGGGTATTCAGGAGAGGCACTCGCCCTGGGGATGCACAGCGTGAGAACATGGATGTGAGGAACGCCGCAAGACTCCGCAAGACTCCGCAGGCCTGGCAGCCGCGGCCTTTCGGTTACCATTTTCCCGAGACATCAGGGCTGGCGGGGCAAGCTGTGGCAGGCTACTTTCGTCCTACTTTCCCAAGTTTGCGATGACCCGAGCTGCCAAGGGCTCTACACCCGGGGACCAGGAACTCCGGAAATAAACATTGGAATGTTGGCGGATGGCGGACGGTAATGAAGGTTCGTTGGTACTAGTAGTGAGCTAGCGAGTCATTAACGCTGAAGTATGTCTTCTCTGCTCTGCGCAACCAGTGTTTACCGATCGGTTCGACAAATACAAGCACCGCCAAGGAAATGATGCGCATGGGCATCAGTGCATGAGAAACCAAGACCACTGTGGCGCCGTCCCATACGCAGCACTACGCGGGCCATTCACGTTTCTGCGCAAACTCCTGGCCTGTGCTGGGTGAAACGGGTGCTCTCGTGGCGTCACCTTTCAGTGACTGCCTCCTGACAGCCAACCTTCAGCCATCTTCAGCCAACGCTTGGCCTACTTCTCCTTGGGCTCGGCCTCGGGGCCTTCGGTAGCGTCGACAGATCCGGCCTCGGAGATGCCTGCAGCAGCCATGGCCGACATGGAACGTGTCGAAGGAGTCTCGGAGGAGTTGGCATCCGAGTGCTCCGAGAGGCCTTCGGCATCTGACCAGGCGTCTTCTTCATCGGAGCCAATGGCAAAGATAGAATCGCCTAGATTAGCATCGTCCACGCTGCCCGAGTCGCTCTTCTGCGGCGGCGGAAGACCTGTGCCGACAGCTTCCTTCCAGGACTGCCCTTTTTGACGGACACCCTGCGCTATGCTCGCAACGCCCGAAGACACTTCACGGCTTTTCCGCGCTAGGCTTCCTTTCAGCTTACCACCTAAAGATCGAACACGGTTGACTGCTTCGTTGGAACTTGGCGCCGAGGAGAGCTCCGCATAGTTGGCCCTGGTGGATGGTAGTGTCCAGAATACCTCTTCTTTCGGATCCTCCTGCAATCGGGTCCTCAGCCCCTCTCGCAGGTCTCCGGCTTTTCGGAAGACGGCTGTCTTCACCTTGTCCAGGCCGCCCTGGCCGCGCCTGCCGTCCTTCATGTCCGTAGCTTCTTCGCCTGCCTCGCCCGTCTCTGCGGGCGTTGCGTCCTTCTCCTCCAAGTTGCCACGGAAAACCTCTCCAAACCCGGCGTGCAAGCATTGCCAGACTACTGCAGCCTATTATGGTGAGGTTGGTCTTCGAGGGTCTCCCCAGCTACCCCACAGCAGATTTAGCAGTGAGCGGGCGCTACTCACCACAGGCCCCAAGACTTCAAGAGAGTTTTGGAGATGTGCAGCGCAGTGCTTTCTACGAGTATTGGGTGAAGTCCCAGATCTTCAGAAGCCCCCCGAAGACTCCCACAATGCCGAGCGGCCTGCTTGCTGACTTGCCGAAGA